CTAATTTGATAAATAATCAGTGCATAAAAATGTTTAACTAAAAATTCAGTGTATGTATTATTATTATAACATAATATACTAATTGGGGTGCCTGAGAGTTACATTACATATTGTATATACAAGGGTGTGCGTTAATTACGTTACATATTAGTAACGTAATTAACGCACACACGTAGGTAGACTTCCAATATTCCAATACCGCAATCTCGACTTAATCTTTTGCTAATTGATAGAAAATTGAATTGCCAGTTTGTCTATATAAGTATATAAGACTTGGAGCAATCAGGGACGTTATTAATTGACTGTAAGCGGATTAATTTCTGTTCAGGCTGTATCGTAGTATTTATTTTTTCTTCGTTTCGATCAGCCGTTATATTTGTGTTTTTAACTTCTCGCTAAAAAAATCATAAATTTTCAAAAATAAGGAAGTTATTGGTTTCACCCCGATTTTCAAAACTCGAGTTTTCATCAGATCTCGACGTTTTGATATCCCAGGAAGCTATTCTGACTTCCTGGGATCTCAAAACGTCGAGTAGATTTTGGGAAACCTCAAAAATAAAAAAATTTAAATTATTTTTTTTCTTGGTATGACTTTTAAACGGCTTTACCGAACGATTTCAAAAACTAATCATCTCTTAACTTCAAAAAATGACGTCGATTGCCTTTTGGGAAATAAAAATCGGTTCATTGGTTCGTGAGATATCGAAGGAGAAAGAATTCGAAAAAGACTTTTTTAAACATAACTAGGGTTTCGCAACATAATTTGATGAAATATGGGGCGCTTTGCATTTGAAATTAGTAGGAAGTTCCAGGGATGGCCTGCAGGTTCAACCATTTTTTATAGAATAAGAGTAACAAACGAATACACAGTACACCTGATGATAAGTGGGTGTTCTGGCCCAGACACCTACATTTATCCTTATTCCTCAATTAACAATCAAACTGTAGATGCATTTTCACCTCCGAGGATTCCGATTCTAAGATTCTCCGGTTCTCTACACTTGCCATACAAAACAAAGCAGCATTAAGCTGCTATTTTATGATGGTATGAGGCGGTTATCCTACCCCGGTCGAGCCTACCCATTCTTACTGCAACAATTATGAAGTTGCAGCGTGGCACCACCACGTAAAAATCTACAGAGTAAACCGTTTTGGGACTGTCCCACTTCTTCAGCACTTCACGCATACATGTAGACTGGTTCTATGCAACGCAACCATGAGAAAGACGTATGCGTTTCTGGTGGGTGGGTTACGGGCCCGCTTTAACAGTATCCTGAGGATGATGAGTACAGGTTATAGAGATATACTTTACTGCTAAAGTCTACATGTCTCTAGCAGTTAAGCAATAGCTTGATTCTGTTTACTTTTCTTTCATCATCATCATCATCATTACAGCCCTTCACAAGTCCTGTGCATAGGTCGTGGGGCATCCATCGACTTCCTGCATGTCTTACCAGGTCGTTACTTTTCTTTACTTTTCTGTAATACTATAGACATTTTTTTACTAACGTTATGGGTCTCTGTTTATGTAAATTGTATATATAAATTGTTATATATGGTAAAGCCAAGCTGTAGCTATATTATAGTTGTAGCACGAATGGGTCCGCCGGGATAGGTCAACCTGGTCACAGATTACCATCATGAAATAGGAGCTTAATGATGCTGTGTTTATGTTATGGTAATGGTGAATGTAGAGAATTGCAGACCCTTTGAACTGCTAACGAGAAATTCCATCTTAGTCCTCAGGGGTGACAACGGTGACATCTGCATTTTGATTTTAATCGAGGATAGATGTAGATTTTTGTTTGTTGCGCTATTCTATTTAAGAGGAAAACTAAAATAACCACATTTTTTGTTTAATTTTACATCACCTTAATACAAGAAAGAATCGTGGAAGCTCAGATGGTTAGCGCTCGCTGCAAATTTCATAGTACGCGAGCATATGGTTCGATACCCGCTGGCACCAATGAAATTGTTAATTGCAATTTTAAACGTCGTGAGGAAATCTGCATGTCTGAAAAATAAGAAAAAATTTATTTCGAAGATATGTGAAGTTCGCCAACATGCATTGGGGTAGCGCAGCACACTACCTTGCCCTAAAAACGTATAAGAAATGAGGGAAGGTCTGTGCCCAGCAGTTGGATGTATATAAGCTGTAATTTTAACTTTAATACTAAACAACTTTTTAATAATTTGTTATACAAAATAAAAAACATAATGATTCCTTTCGAACAATTGTTTTAAAAAAGGTTAGGTCTCATAGTCCTATTCGATTTTCCAACACAATAATTTAATCTCTATTGTAATAAAGCAGTTTGAAGTTGAGCCGTTTAATGAATTTATTATAAACCCGTTTTATAGAGTCTATGTAATTAAAATATTGAGGGTATCAGTAATTTGGTAAGGGTTATTTTAATGAGTTCAACGTTCCTATTGAAAGTACATTTAACGAGTAATTCTAAATGGTTTTGTCCCTCAATATGGAATTATCCTAATGAATATTGATTACTTTATTTAATAAAAGGACTGTACGAGTATATAATACAATGAGGGGCAAGAGTACGATCTCTATAGATATTTAGAAACAGAGTTTTATACTATGTATTTCATAAATAAATAAATGATTGACATAATATAAAACCATACCAACCATAGTTAGTCACCATAGCCGCCTCTTACGACACCCACGTTACGTAATAGGGTAGTGGAAATTCTTACTACGCACGGTTTTTGTATATTGGATGATTTTTTTTACAAAAAAATAGGATGTAAAAGGTGAACGGAATAAAAACTTATAGCACTAATATTTTACAATTCTTTTTATTTTACAATAACACATTATAAAATTGATCTATCAGTAAATACTTTTTCTTTATAGAAGAGGAGGCAAACGAGCATGCGGCTCACCTGATGATAAGTGACTACCGCCGCCCATAAACAACCGCAACACCAGGGGAATTGCAGATGCGTTTCCGGCCTTTTAGAAAGGAGTAAGCTCTTTTCTTAAAGGTCCCTAAATCGTATCGGTCCGGAAAAGTCGCCGGTGGTTAACAATTCCATGGAGAAGTTGTACGAGGAAGAAAACTCCTCGTAAAACGTACAGTAGTGGACCGCAAAGCATCCAGATGGTGAGGATGATATCAGGAATTTCGACGCGAAGTGCGTTCATGAAATTTGGCGGCTGGAACTAATCCAATCAATTCCTCAGAACACTCCTCATGGTAGATACGATAGAAAACGCAAATACGAGTAGATGTAACATTCCTACGCAGCGCCAGCGAATCAAGCCGATCAGAAAGCACTCGGTCGTCGACAAATCAAATCGCTCTGCGCTGGGTGCGGTCTAGTGGAAGGAGCTGGTACTGGGGTGCTCCGGCCCAGAGATGAGAACAGTATTCCATGTGAGGCCGAACTTGCGCTTTATAAAGTTGCAAGCGATGTGCCGGCATGAAATACTGTCTCGCTCTGCTGAGCACGCCAAGCTTTTTAGAGGCCAATTTGGCCTTCCCCTCCAAGTGACCACAAAATTGCACACTATTCGATATGTCGACGCCGAGGATTCTGATACTAACTGAGGCAGCAAGGGGAGTGCTTTCAAACTGAGGAGACACTACAAAGGGTTTCTTTTTAGCAGTTAACGCGCAAACTTGTGTCTGGAAAAGGATTGAATTGGACTAGATTTAGTCACCCCCAATCCGAGACTTTGTTAAGCAAAGACTAGACTTGAGATACAAGTTTGTCCCGATACTCGGCGATAATTCCCCGAGAAATATTGGCACGGCCGGTGTATAAGGCATTACCAGTGCTATAGTTTGCATAGCAATGAATGTTACGGGTTTGAAACATGTCGTTGATGTGCAAAAGAAACAGCGTTGGTGATAGCACGCAGTCTTGTGGAACACACCAGCGTTAATAGGCTTGTAACTGATTACATGCTCTGAATCATGCACCGTCTACTAGCAAGAAAGCTAGTGATCTAATTGCACAATTTCTCGGGAAGCTTCGAAAGAAGCGCTTTGTGCCAGACCCGATCGAAGACCTTCGCTATGTCCAAACTAACGACCAATGCCTCCCCCTTGGACTCTACTGTCTCCGCCGAATTACTGACGTCCAGGGAGAAGAGTGCTTTGCAGACAGCGCGCTGTGTAAACAACACCTCCGGCATGGAGCACTCACATCGCGGAATGGTCAGCGGTGTGTTCCCCTCGTCATCGAGAGTTGAGCTGGACGCAAAGAGAGAGCCTAACAGATCCGCATTCTCCTTTACGGCATGGGCCAGTGAGCCGTCCTCTCTGTGCAGAGATGGTAGAGATGACTGACAAAAGTTCCCTTGAACAGCCTTGGCGAGAGACCAGAATGCACGTTCCCACCTTGGCTTGGTATCGGCAAGGTCTTCGCGGGCCCAGCAATCAGCACCAGCCGCTGGTGGAGTACGCCGCATGCGTTGGACAATGCAGATGAATAGCAACTCATTGCAGGCGTATTTTACGGCGAAAGGGGAGAAATTGGAGGTTTCGCCTATCGGGATAGGATGCATCGATTTTTGCTGAGCTAGAGTCATTTATAACCATCGCCGAGCAAAACCTAGCAGACCGAATTCGGTATATCTTGCGCTCAAATGTATTTGATGTCGCCGAACTCGAAAGACTACGATGTGAGGCTGTTCCCTCAGCGGATAGCACGAATGGGTTGGCTCGGCCGGATTAGTACCACGATATCACAGAATACTAGGGTAAACTATCAGCTTAATGCTGCTGTGTTTCGTACGGTTAGTGTAAAGAACCGGAGCCACTTTTTATTTAAACCTCAAGAGTCCTCAGGGTTGAAAAAGCAACTGCATTTTGATACTTAGTCGAGGATAAATGTAGATGTCTATTGGCCACAGCACCCTATGAGCATTAGGTGGACTGTGTGCTCGTTTGTCAGCTTTATTCAATAAAAAAAAATTGTGACCTTCTGATTATTTGTTCAGGTATAATCAACGCAGCAGATTTTGCTGTATGGCTACCATATGGGCTGCCTTGGTGGTAGTAGGAAATACTCTCGAGTCGTACGACGATCAACCGCCGCCATCTTTCGATGATCAAGTTATATATCAGGTAATGATTTAACCTTTTCTTCTTTTCTATGTTATCGTTCGCAACTCTTTTACCTCCTTGCACCGCGTATTTTTCGATCATTTGTTGGAAGTGTACCGTGTAGTGGCGGTGCAAGAATATCCACTCCCCCATATCATCCCGTGGGTGTCGTGAGAGGCGACAGAGGGAAACAAATCAAGAGATGGGCAGAAGTATTTTTACATGGTAGAGCCATGTTGCAGCTATATTGTAGTTGTAGCATGAATAAGTCGGCTCAACCGGGGCAGGACCACGCTCTCACAGAATATCAGCGTAAAATAGCAATGTAATGCTGCTGTGTTTCCTATGGTGAGTTTAGAGATCCGGAGACCATTTTTAACCGGAAACGAGGCATTCCATCTTAGTCCTCAGGAGTGGCAACGTATTTGCATTTTGGTTCTTAATCGAGGATAAATGTGAATGTCTATAGGCCACAGCATCCACTTATCATTAGGTGGACTGTGTGCACTTTGTCACCCAATGCTATAAAAAAGAAGCGTCTTTCAAATGACTAACAAAAAAACTGCGGTTGCCAACCCCTTTGCCAAGCGTGGCAACTGTGGCAAATATCATCCCCCCTATGAGGCAATCTATCGGGGAGGTCTATGTTCAGCTGTGGACTTAACAGGCTGTGTAGGTTCGAAGTAACTTTTCTCTAATCTATCATTGATTAGTCTATTCTATCTTAGGCTACAGATTTTTTTAGCAGAAAAAAAGCAAAAATTTCACCTGATGGTAAGTTAATGCTGTGATCCATAGACACACAGGTCTCTCCGGTTCTCGGAACTCACTATACGAAATAGATCAGCTTTATGCTTGGTCCTTCTCTTCTCGATCCGACCCATTCCTAATGCAAATAAAATAACGCTGATGTATAGCTTTTTATATAGAATATGGGTTACCAACGAGCACACAGTCCACCTGATGGTAAGTGGATCCTGTGGCCCATAGACATCTACATTTAACCTCGATTAAGAATCAAAACGCAGATGCGTTGTCACCTCGGAGGACTAAGATGGAATGCCTCAATTCCAGTTAAACGGGTCTCCGGTTCTCTACACTCACCATCATCAAGCTGCTAATTAACACTGGTATTCTGTGAGAGCGTGGTCCTTCCCCGGTCGAGCCGACCCTTTCGTGCTACAACCATAATATTGCTGCAGCGTGGCTCTAGGACGTATAAAATGCTGTGTATTTCTATGACATATTATGCCAACGCATATGCATTATAAATTCCTAATGGGGGTTAGGTATATTTATAGGTGGCCATGGACCACAGCATACACTTATTATTAGGTAAGCTATCGCTTTATTTGTCACCCTTACTTCTTTACAAACAGTATATTGTTGTATGACATCTTGAATCTTTACCGAAACTGTATTGTGTTGTTAATTATTGTGTGACTATAATGATTGTAAATTGTGATTTTTTTACGTCCCGCTAGGTTACTTGCTGGTTCTCCCCAGGGCTGAGGTATTTTCCGAATCAGTAATTAATTAAACATAATGGACGACACACACGGCTAGTTCAACTGATCATTCCAACTGATCAGTTCAAAATAGGACTGTTGATATTTTTTAAAATATCGGATTTTCGATATATCGTTAATTATAAATATATCGATATCGAAGTTTTATATATAAGTTTATTTATAATTATTATTAAAAAACTATCAACAGTCGTAGTTTGAACTGATCAGTTGGAAGGAACCGTTTAACTAACCATGTGTGTCGTCCATTAGAGTGATTTTCAATAAGTATTATTTATAATGTTCATGGAATAAAAACGTATCTATTTCTATTAATTGTTATTTTTAATATGTCAGCGAACTTTCTAGGTCTCGCATATCACAAGAAGAAATGATTTTATCGTCTCAAATATTATTTTTATTTTTCATTTTCAGGAATATAGCGATTTAGACACTGTACCACTTGCTGTCGATCAGAAAATTGGGAACGCAATGAAAAGAGGTTATAATACGTTAAGAGAGCCTGACGAAAACACGGCCGTGTTGTTGTATAAAATTATACAAGGCTCACGACTGAGAGACGAATTTCCAGGGCAATATTACAGGTAACACCTAATTAGCCAAAATAATGATCCAGAGGCTCTTTTTTCAGTTTGTTTCAAGTTGAAAGACTTCTGAAAAATAACAACTAAATCCAAAGGCTTTTATCACTTTTTTAAATTATACTACATCATCATCATCATCATTACAATCCTTAACAAGCCCACTACTGAACATAGCCCCCCCCCCCCAAGTAATGCCACAAAGCACGGTCATGAGCCACCTGCATCCATTGACTTCCTGCAAATCTTATCAGATCGTTACTTAATCAAGTGGGGGGCCGCCATATACTTTAGCTACAGGTACGAGGCTGCCACTTGAGAACGTTTCGTCCCCATCGGTTGTCTGTTCTTGGAGCTATATGATGGCCCTTTGCCACTTCAGCTTATTATACCGTTTATAAAAAAGCATTTATCTTTACTAGTTGCTGGCTACTTGCTGCTGCAAAGCTGGTATATCGTAGTTTGTTTCACGTATAATTTCATCACTTCATTTTGATTCATTTTGGTTCATTTTCGGTTGTTCGCTGAGGGCTTATCATTCCAAAGTCGCTTAATTTTTTGCTACCATTGCTATTACTTTATCTTTAATTTTTTCAAGTGCTTCATTATAAATGTGTTCATTGTATGTAATATTCACGTGTGTCTGCTGTAACCTTCACAAAATATCTTCAGCCATGTACTCTTTATATTTGTCCCACAATTCATGTGCATTAGATAGCCCGCAAGATGATATGAGAGTTGCATAAAGATCCCTAATTTTGGCTGATGACTAGCACTGCACAGCTTCCTCCATGGTTTCATCCCAGTGATTATCGTTTTCTAAAAGATGCAGAGCTTCACATGCTTCTCTATAAGTTGCACATTCCTGACCGTTGACAGTTTTAAGGTCTTTATGTCCTGTCCCGAACATGGTGCAGCAGCAATCATAAACAGAAACATTCAAAATTAGTTACATGGACGGTATACACACGACCAAGGGCGTCTGATGACTTTACACCAGGCCAAGTTGCAACAGGCGCGCCTTGAATACGGCGTTTCCACTCCTTCCTAGATGTGTTCCAAGTATAATAGCGGGGGACTTCGGAATATAACAACGTTTTTGCAAAGGGGTCGGTTTGACAAAATTGAAAGAAGGCTGTTAGTGTAGTTTTTGGCGGTGATGCAATTCTTTCTTGGAAATTTCTTTCGGTGAAATATACACGCTCTCCATTTTCTAAGTGCACAGCAAGGTGAGTAACTGTTGGGTTGGGGACCAAGCAAGGTCGCTTGGTCCCCAACCCAACTTACAGATATACTTGATTGCGAGGACAGAGCTACATGCTCTACATTAATGTGGGCATTAAATATTTTACATAGAATGGGCGAATACGGGACAATCCAGTTATCTAAGGTTTCGAACGCTCCGAAGCGAGATTTGATTGTAACTTTCCTGCCACCATCTTCGGTAGCTCTGCGTCTGTATAAGGGGTAGCCATTGTCGTTGTGCACTGTTTCTTTTAATAGCTGTTTAGGGAATTTATTTGTACATTTTCTTTCCTTCATACATGGCGATATTGAATTTAGTGCTTCACATGGGCCGTGAATCATATTTCGGACGATGGTATCATACAATTCTTTATCTTGCTCAGGATCCGGAATCTCGGCGCTTATTATGTCGTCTATTTGGCTGGGCCGCAACTTCTCTTTAAGCTATATTAGAATGTGGGCATGTGGTAATCCTCTTTTTTGCCATTCAATTGAATACATGGAGCACTGCACCTCTCCGAAAATTTTCCCTTTTTTAATTACATACAATGTTTGTACTTTTAATCTAAATACTCTTGCTAAACTCTTACTAAATCATGTCTGTCAGTACTTTTTTGGCCCGGCATTAGCTCCTCGGTTATTTCTTTCCATGTGGGATTGCAAGTAAAAGTAACAAAAAGATCAGGTCTTCCGTAAATTCGTACATAGGCGAATGCGTCTTGTGTGTACTCATGTAGGTAGCGGGAACTGTTAACGAATGATGAGGGCAGAATTACCATTTTAACTAAATCTCTGAGGTTTACATTGGCGTCGCTAGAAAATGCATCTTGTAAATGTATATAATTCTCAACACGCAGCTTTTTTTTTATTTAAAGATATATAACGGAGACGTTCACTTTCTACATTCACATACATGTCTACCAAAAATTGATGAAATAATTGTCTACACCGGGCTAAGAGTATAAGAGTTAAAATCATTTTCTTGCAACATCATATGATAGGCATAAAAATCTATACATGATACTTTTTTGTTCGGAGTAGGCTACTTTGTGACCGGGTTAATGAGTGGAATTTGAAAATAATAACCCTCTTTTCCTTTGCAATAAATCAATGGGTATTGCAGAGCGTCATAAAACTTGTGTGTATCGGCTACCCGTTGCAACGTATCATCACGTGCTCGCAAGACAATATCTCGTGAAGAAAATTGATCACCGCTAATTACGGCTGCTATTTATCAAAGGTGCATTGTAGCGCCTTTCATGCTCTCCTCGAGGGATTCGATCTGCGTGAATGACGACTTTATAATCCTCTTTAGGTAGGTTTTCTAAAGCAGTTTCAAATGTTTTGACTAAAATGTTACGTTCATGCAAGAATCTTTGAATTTTGAACACTGTGTCTCTCTCAACTCCCTGGATAAATTGGCAGCGACGGTCTACCTCAATTTCTTCGTCACCCATAAAATATACTTGTAAAAATTTATGCTGTTCGTTTTCAGCTGGAAAAAGTGAACCTATTCTATGATAAATTTGCCCTTGCACCGTAAATGTAGGCGAAAATCCCGGCATTATTATTTCCCGGTCAACTCCGAAGGACGTCATTTGAAAGCATGAGTTATATTTCCGGATCCTGTTTAAAAAACGCCGTGACTCATTAGCATCATATAAAAAGAGAGTTTTCAAAGGTTCTTCTGGTTCCCCAAGTAACGGAAGAGACACTTTGCCATTGGAACAGCACATGCCTGCGGTCTCATCTTTCCATTTTAAAGCGCTGCAAAATCGACACGCCTTGTCCATCAGTCCGATAACAACTAACCTGTGATTTTTATAATCAATCAACGGATCATAATTGAATGCTGCGTCATTAAAAACCGACCAATTGTTTCTTTGAAAATTTTGTCGACGTTCAGCTTGGAGCTGTGCATTTGCATCTCTTCGCGCCTGTATCTGTTCTGGTGTTTCAGATGCCCTTATAGTAGATTGACGTTCAGCTTGCTCAATGAGTCTGTGTTGAGTTTCATCAGGTGTTTCCGCAGCTCTTAAGGCGGCCTGACGTTCCGCTTGTTCGAATAGCCTTTGCTGACTTTGAGCAGGTGTTTCAGTAGCTCTTAAAGTAGATTGACGCTCTGCCTGTTCAAGACGCCTTTGCTGACTTTGATCAGGTGTTTTAGTAGCTCTTAAAGTAGCTTGACGCTCTTCCTGTTCAAGACGCCTTTGCTGACTTTGATCAGGTGTTTCAGTAGCTCTTAAAGTAGCTTGACGCTCTGCCTGTTCAAGACGCCTTCGCTGACTTTAAAAAGGTGTCTCAGATGCTCTAAAAGCAGCCTGACGCACTGCTTGTTCTTGCCTTCTCAGTTCAGCATCTTCTAGAGATTCTAGCGATCGAGCTCATCTTTTCGCTTGTCTTTGAGAAGATACTCTTGAAAGGCTGGACTTACGTTTGCGAGGCATTATGAAGTAACAAAAAACCTATTTATAAAAAAAACGTTAAAATACCTAAAAGGAATGAAATTTCCTTTGAAATATTTTTTTAAAAGCAAATCCAAAATATCTAAAAGGAATAAATATTCCTTTTAAATATTTTTTTAAAACAAAACAACAAAACCAATTCAAGACACAACACGAATCCGAAAACGATAGCCAAAAAAAATCGAATCAACTTAAACCAAATCACAAAACAAATCGCAGAAAACCGAAATCGAAAGCAGTAGTCAATATAAATATAACCAACGAAAAAAGAAGTTAGTGTATTATAGGTACCGTATACATTATCTATACTATTAATATTCCTTTGAAATATTGTTAAACAACCTAAAACAACGAAAACCAATTCACGATTCTAAATAAACAAAATCCAAAATCAAAGCCAGAGTCTAAATATGTATAAAGAAATACCAACCAAATCAACAAAACCGATCCAAGAAAATACACAAATCCGAAAAGGAAAGCCAATATAAATCCATTCAACCTTAAGCAAATCGTAACAAACAACCGAAATCGAAAGCAGGTAGTCGAATGAGCTACGAAATAGAAACAATTAAGCGTATAGGTACCGTATGCACTATAAGTTGACGCGCGGCTCAACGGCGGGAGTTAAGTACATGTCAGGAAACATTTCGTTACCGCGTTTTAAAAACCTAGTAACGACATCTAGCGGAATCAATTTAAACTATGTATACGTTAGTTAATAAGAACTCTCAAAAAATATTTTTCTTATAATTTTGCACAATTTTTCTTATTGTAATACCGATTAATTCATAACCACATATAAGAACTGTATTCATTTCCGTTCAATAAATATTACTAAGGCTTATTAATAAGGCTTACTAAGAACTGTTTCTACCACAGTTAAGTAATAGTCAAGGGTGAAAGCGTGACAGGTGGTGATAGTATTTCTGATCCATACTTATAATTACGCCTGTAACCCTTGCGGGGTAGGCAGAGCATCAACGGATTACTTAATATCGTCTGCGAGGTTATCGCCTATTCTGTGAATTACAATGCACCAAAACGTTTGAAGAAAATCAGCTGGTGAATTTTATGTTTTTTATCGCTCTCTTCCCGGTCCTGCGTGGAAAAATACAGATCCATACATTTTTTATTTTAATTTTGGTAAAAAGACATAATAATCCAGATATTCTCACCTTCTGTGTTCGTCCATCGTCCGTCGTCCGTCTTGTAGAATCACGGTGGCGCCACCTAGCTGAATTAAATTTTGCAACATATTCGATTTTGCCACGGGAATGATATGTTTTTCCGCTGAAAAAAGTAGCCCATGTCACTCTGCAGCCACCGAACTATCCCCATACAAAAAAAAAATCATGCCATGCCGACGCTCTGTTGCGACGTGAAAGAAGGACAAACTTTTGCAACATATTCTATTTTCCCACGGGAATGAGATGTTTTTCCCCGGAAAAAAGTAACCTATGTCACTCTACAGCCACCGAACTATCCCAATACAAAAAATCATGCCATGCCGACGCTCTGTTGCGACGCGAAAGAAGGACAAACAAACAAACACACTTTCGCATTTATAATATTAGTATGGAAGTATGGATTTAACTACGGGTTAACGTAGAGCTACGCGAAGTTCTCAGGAAATTAATAGTTAATTATTGAATTTCATTATCTTCTACTCAATTTGCGATCTGTTAGACAAATTAACTCCAATTCCTGATACTTTTTTTATCTTGCGCGTCTCGCTTGCAATGGCAAGCATTCTATGGCTATGGCGCTCTCTATTTACCTACATCAAGTTGTATATAATGAGGTAGACAATACTCCAGGTGCACCACGGAGAACATTTCGAATGAAGCTGAAACCATGCTCAACTTCTTAACTGACACGCACCCACGCAAACATCTCTCTTCTTTCTTTCTATAATAGACCGTAAAGTCGACTGCTGGACGCACACATATACACCTAAACCAAAACCATGTTATTGGTTGCAAATGATTTTAGATGTGTATGTTGGCATTAGGGTTGCCACCTTTTTTTTTTCAACAAACATAGTATTTTTCCCAAAAATGATGTGAAAATATAGTACTTTTGAGATATTCCGGAGAAAAAAAGCACGCATTCATTTTTAATCTTTATGTCTGTATGTACTCAATACAAATATGAATGTATTTTTCCATACAAATTTGTTATTGCTCTTTACTTTAGTCATCAATGATCTAACCACCTTACCTTCTACCTTGTAAAATAATTATATGAGTCGGAGCAATTTAGATTCATATTAAAATAAATTACAAAATTAATTTTTAAGTAAATAAATACATGCTCTTTTTTTTCTTCTTTCAATTTCACAATCATGATGGAAAAAATTCTTTCCGTATAACATGCTTGTTTCATACTTACAATCACAGTTAATATAACATAACGACAGTTTAATTAGGGATAAAAATATAGTATATTTCGTACCATATTATTAAGCTATTGCATAGCTTCTATCGCGGGCCTTGAGCGCGGGGACCGAATCCAGAAATTCCGTAACGAAAAAAAGCTCACGCTCCCCACTCCGACGGGCACGGAGGTGTGGCGTTGAAAGCCGTGCATCGTCTAACGTCGTTTCAGTTCGGCAGACTTCGGCATTCGGCAGACTTCGGCACGGTGTTTGTGTGCGTGCGACTAGACGTATGCGTGTACACTAGCTGCTCACTCAATGATAGAAATTTCTGAATAACCTACATGTATTGTAAGATATTAAAAATATTTTAAACAATATTAACTTCTCATTTATTCAATAAGAGAAAAAAATTGTTTTCTTATCGGTCACCACGCTCAAAAAGTGTAACTTGATTTAATATCAAAGACTTAACTGCATAAATAAAATAAATAAATAATTATAATTGCATAAGTTAATAAAAAATGGTATGAAATAGCTTTACCGCGGCAGTCACCGAGTGCCACACGTATTTTTTTTCTATAGTATATAGTACGATTCAATAAAATATATTACGATACTATATATTAAGTACGGGTGGCAACTACATAGTTGGCATGCAACATGGTTTTGATTTGACTACCGCGTCGCTTGTAATGTTTATAATGGTCCATCATTCTTTGTTAGTCAGAGTTTATAATGTAGAAACAGCAATTATGCCCATCTACTGCTAAACATAGGCCTCCCTATCACGGTCACAGCCCTAAGCCACCTGCATCGTTCGACTTACTGCATGTCTTACCAGGTCGTCACTCCATCTTGAGGGGAGCCGCCCTACGGGCTAATGAATGAAAAAAAATGGTCATCTAAGTAGGGAGTTTTTAAAGATGATTAATTCTAATTTAGTTCATATTCAGGTATCTGTTATTGTAGACTATTTTAGATTAAGGCATTGTTTGAATTAGTTAAGTATAATATTTATTGAAATGAAAATTAAATAAAATAATTTAAATCTCTCGGGAATATACCTGATTCATTTATGTTGAGACCAATTTATTCTTATTTATATAACGTAGAAAAATCCTTAGGATAACCATTTTCAAAAGGTGTTAGCTATGTCCATATCAATAATGATTTCTTATGTTTACGCGAACACAAAACAATAAAATGAACTAGTTTTTACGGATTTTATCGCGTATATTAACATATTTTATATCATCCTAGAAGATTCGACGACCGATTGCTTTCCGATCGGCGCGATTCAATGGCGCTGCGAAGAGATGTTGCATCTCTTTGCATTTTCTTTCGCATATACCATGGGGAATGTTCTCAGGAATTGTTCGGATTAATCCCAGCCGCCAAATTTCGTGAACGCACTACGCGGCAAACGTCCCGATACCATCCACACCATCTGGATGCTTGGCGGACCACCACTGTACGTTTCAAAAGGAGTTTTCTTCCGCGTACAACCTCTCTGTGGAATAGTTTACCATCGGTGATTTTTCTGGACCGATACAACCTGCGGACCTTCAAGAAAAGAGCTTACTCCTTTCTAAAGGGCCGGCAATGCACCTGCAATTCCCCAGGTGTTGCGGTTGATCTTGGGTGGCGGTAGTCACTTAATGTCAGGTGTGCCGCATGCTCGTTTGCCGCCTCTTCTATTAAAAATAAAAAAAGACTGTAATACAGTGGACGATATGAATGACAAGCTCGTGGAAACTGTCCATGCGGACGAAGCTAAGTTCTGCAAGAGCCGCCGCAGAAGAACACAAAAACTCTCCATCACACTCTTGATCTCATGATTGTTAGACAGCAAATGAAGCTGTACTCTTCAGCCGATTTGACAGCATACAGGCAACAGAACAGGCAGATCACCAAATCAATGCGGTGAGACTTACGCAACTTCAATACAGCTCGTATTGAAGAAGCGATTGGGCGAAACCAGGGCTCCAAAGTCTTTGTCAGAGATCTGTCTGCCTGAAAGAGCCAACTGTCGAAGCTGAAGACCGAGTGTGGCAGCATCGATTTTGAGTGAGTTTGAGAGGTTCTATGGGCAGCTGTATAAATCATCGATAAAGCCAAATGCAAGTGTGAGTGACGATTCAAGAGCAAGTTTTATCAGACACTATTCCGATTATATCCCGGACGGTCAGTCTAAGCGAGATTAGAATGGCTCTTCAGCACGTTAAAAACGGCAAGTTTCCGGGCGAGGAAGGAATTACAGCGGAGCTTCTGAAAACGAGTGGAAAACCGGTACCTGAAGTCCTTCAGAAGCTCTTTAATTACGTTCTCCATGGTGGCACTACTCCGGAGGCGTGGAGCAAAAGTGCGGTGGTCTTGTTCTTCAAGAAAGATAACAACACTCTCTTGAAGAACTACAGACTGATTTTTCTTCTGAGCCGCGTCTACGTGCTGTTTTCAAAAGTCTCGCATGCAGGTTCGACGATTTCCAGCCTCCCGAACAAGCCGGTCCGAAAAGGCTTTACCATAGACCATATACATACACTTCAGCAAATTGTACAGAAGACCAAATAGTACAATCTGCCACTTTGCCTGGCGTATGTGGACTATGAGTAAGCCTTTGATTCCGTCGAAATTGGGGCGGTGCTACAATTACTTCAGCGGTGAAAAGGCTACGATGGCTATTCGAGTACAGAACCAGAATACGAAATCTATCCAACTGCTAAGAGGTGTAAGACGGGGTGACGTTATAACCCCGAAACTGTTCACCGCTACATTGGAAGACGTTTTCAAGCTACTGAACTGCAAAGGATACGGTATTTACATCAATGGCGAGTACATCACTCTTCCGACGATGTAGTCCTTATGGCAAAATCGCTGAAGGACCTAAGCACTCTGCTCAATGTCCTCAATAGTGTCTCCCAACGGATAACATGGACAAAAGATGAACATGGACAAAACAAAGATCATGTTTAATGTCCATGTCACACCTTTGCCGGTAGTTGTTGAGAGCACTGAGCTCAAAATAAAATAAAAGTATGTTAACCTTGGACGAATAGTCCGACTAGGTAAGTCCAACTTCGGCCGAAAGGTTTATCGACGGATTTAACTCGGCTGGGCAGCGTTCGGGAATTACAACACATCTTTTCGTCAGGTATACCTCAAAACCTGAAAAACACGATACTATACAACCAGTGCGTATTAAGTGATGACTTATGGAACTGAGACGTGGTCCTTCACTGCTGACCGTATGAGGACGCTCCAGATCGCTCAGCGAGCTATTGAGAGAGCTATGGTCGGGGTCTCTGTGTGATAAACATAGAAATGAGGATATCCGCATTAGAACCAGAGTGACCGACATAGCCCAACGGATCAGTAAACTGAAGTGGCAATGGGACGGTCATGTAGCTCGAAGAACCGATAACCGATGGGGAAAAAAGGTTCTCGAGTGGCAGCCTTGTACCGGTAGGCGAAGTGTATGGCGACCCCCCACTAGATAGAGTGACGACTTGGTAAGATATGCAGGAAGCCGAAGCCGGCTCAAGACCGTGCTTTGTGATATTCCTTGGGGGAGGCCTATGTTCAGCAGTGGACTTGTGAAGGGCTGTAATGATGATGATGATGATATCCCCATCGTTTCCAGTACTTTATAGCTTCCGTGGTCACTGGGGTACTTAGGGGTCCGACCTTCCGTTGAAATTATAGTTAAACAAAGCTACCTTCAGTTTTACGTGGAACATCGGTAATATATAATAAGTAAATACACGCAATAGAATATCCATATCAATAAAAAGGCATTAGCGAAAGTCGACCAAGTTTCCGAGATTTTCTGCCAGTATTTTTCTAATTATATGTAATTATTCTTTACAGGCCGATTTCAGAATCTGTTGATTATGTAGAGCTTTCCCCAAAAACACCTGAAACGGTCGACACGAAGATGATGGTGACAAAACGATTGACGAACGTCAACAAACGAAGAGAGGCGAATAATGCTTATAAATCCAACAGCCGATATCGACCACAGCAGAAGTGGAAGGCCAAAAAAGGTAAGGTCATAGGTAAAAGTCGCAACTTTCATATGCTCCATAACAGGGCCTACGAGGATCTTGGAAGAAGAACATTGAATATGTCCCCGATTTTTTTTTGTATACACACAGATCCCCTCGTGATGTGTTTCTTCACTGGCGAGCACGTGACAAATTAGCATTAAAAATATAACAAATACGCTAGCAGTATGAATATACTTCGGCGGCGGGAATCCAACTCGGTTTTATCGCGCGCTATAAAAATTTTAGGCGAGCGCTCACTAATTCCCAGGGATATCACGACAAAGATATTATAGCAAGGAGCAGGACTCAGTGTCTGTGCCTAGGGCTGCAGAATTCTGTGGGAGGCATTATGGAAAAAAACGGCTCCCTTTCCGTTTAAAAAATTCATAATCTTAACAATAGTTTTTAATGAATAAAAAAACGTAGTGATTGATTATATACTCTTTGGTTGTAGCATAGAAAGTACTGAAAATTGACATCTACATACACACTCATGCACACACGCATGAACACACGTATGCACATACACACACACACACACACACACTAGTATTCGACTAAGTTATCGTATCGATTAATGAGAATGGGCCCCATAGATAATATACTATAAATGGCAATGAGCTCTATGGCACATCTCTGTATTACGGCCCGTCATTTGTGCATTTTTGGTAAAATTTAATACTTTTAGATACTAGTATTTTTTTACCAATTACCTAGGGTTATGATGGAAAATAATTTGTAATTGTCATATTTTTATAGCAGAATGTAAATATCATTTAAGTAGAGATCGTCTAATTTAAAACTTCTCGCGACTCTCTTGCATTTTTGGCAGACTATGTCATACTTATTAACCGTATTATATACCTATCATATAACATTTTTTTTATATAGGAAAAGGATGATAAGCGAGCACACTGTCCACCTGATGGTAAGTGGTTGCTGTGGCCCATAGACATCTACATGTATCCTCGTTTACGAATCAAAATGCAGATGCGTTGTCAGCCTTGAGGACTAAGATGGAATGCCTCTTTTCCAGTAAAAAGGGTCTTCGGTTCTCTACACTCACCATACGAAACACAGCAGCATTAAGCCGCTATTTGACGCTGGTATTCTGTGAGAGCGCGGTCCCTCCCCGGTCGAGCCGACGCATTCGTGCTACAACTATACAATTAATAAAGTTGCAGCATGTCTCTACCACGTAACTCTCTGCACTGCACTCTGCGCATTGTTTTTAGTAGATTTTAGCAGATTATTTCAAAGAAACAACAACACATTTTTTCAAAAATAAAGTGAGGCGCGTGCAGTTTTAAATTAGACGATTTCTACCTACAAGATCTCTTGTTTTATAACAATACTTATAGTGATATAAAGAGGTAAGAAAAAAGCGGTGCTACAATATCCCCTCATGACCACTCAGATAAGATAATGGACTCAGTTGTAACTTGTAACTTATAGAAGACATTCCGTAGCTCAGAATCATGTTTCACACAATCTCCGTTATTATTTTATTAAGAATTTTATTTTTTATTATGTTTATGTACATTTTACTTTTCACAGGTTCGCAAATGATCTGCTACTTCAAGCTGTGCACGTTCCGTTCACCCTCCTAATTTCTTCGAACTAATCCGAAAACTATTTGAGAGGAAAAGCAAAAACGCATTCATTTCACGACACTAAACTTACTAAATGTTACATAATATATTAAGACTCAAAAAACAATTGTCATTCAGTGAGTTAGCATTCACGTTAGTGTATCCAAATAATAGAATTATTTATTAAACGGTCACGGGACCGGGACAAAAGTTGCAAGATCTTTTCGAAATAAAACTTTGAAAGCACTTAGGATTATTGTTAATATTAAAGTAGTAAGGCCCCATCCATATTCGCGTGAGGTTTTAGGCTACCCTACCTCCCCCTACCAGCATCACGCGTATTTTTTATTATAGAAAAGATCAGATACTTTTAGAATCTGTTTAATAGAAAAATATCGTTTACGATATTACAAGTTACATTCTAAAAAACCATAAATGTTAATAAAATTGAGAATGATTGTAACAATATCTCATCCTTCCGATCGTGATTAATCGTGATTTTTTTCTAACCCCTACCACACCCTTAGGACCTCACTAGATTAAGGAACGGGATAATGTGACCTTATCAAACTTTCTTTTTATTGATTTTTAGCTCGTTGATTTTAGATAATTAAACATTTATAAAATGTTTAAGCAACTAAGCAGTAAATTGACATATTGCCATAACTGAAAATCGCGATGAAATACAGAAAACTCGGCACAAAAATATCTACTATTTTTGCTTCAAAATTTTATCTAATATTATATTAATATGCTATATGTAGATATGCTTGAATATATTCAAAATAATAAAGAAATAAAATCTTTAAAAATATTAGCTCATATCGTGGTAACTCTGTAATGGTTGCCATTATTCATTAGTCTTCTATTTTAGAATTATAAACTTATTTAAGAGTAGTAAGTATAAAAATCTGATGTTAATTAAAATAAATTATATTTGATATAAATTTAAATTCTTAACACACGAGTTTAAAATTAATTTTAAGCTTATTGATGGTGTTATTGTCAGTGGATTATTAAATAAAATTTTGAATCAGCAATGGCTTTTCATTTCAATACAAGCCTTTTTGTTAATAATTTGCTTTCATCGTAATTATGTCTTACCGTAAAGTATTTTCCCCAAAAATATAAAAACTGACTTCAAATTTTGCCCACGATTAGTACTAAAGGTAAAAAATAATATTTTCGATTGCTCAAAAATAAATTTATAAAAAGTCACACTTATTGCTATATAAATATTTATAATACCCAACAAGTAGTTTTTGGGGTCGCGTCGGTGCCGTTGTCAATGTCAATTTTAATTTTTGATTATAAGTTGACAATGACAGGAACAAATTAACTTATAACTCTTTCATTGGAATTCATATCCCGATAGATTTAAATAGGTATCTACTTAGTTCTTTCATTTCTTTTGGTTCTCTTTTTTTTGTATTCATGTCTCAACAGATTTAAATAGATGCGGTTAATTCTTTCTATTTTTGTTTAAGTTTTTAACAATATCTAAGTAAATTATTTCCATTTTGTCCTGTTTATATGTAAAGTTATTTAAATAGGTATCTCGTAAATTTATTTTATGTTTTTTGTGAATTGACAGGCACCGATTCCAAAAACTACTGGTAAATATTTTTTTTAATAAGATGGGGTGACAAACGAGCGCACAGTTCACCTGATGGTAAGTGGTTGCTGTGGCCCATAGACATCGACATCTATCCTCGATTACGAATCAAAATGCAGATTCGTTGTCACCCGTGAGGACTAAGATCAAGTGCCTCGTTTCCAGTAAAAAGGGTCTAACAGGGTAAAATATCAATGATTTTCCTTATAAATTTTTTCGTTTTTAGCAACCAAAATATTATTTTTTATTCTAAGTAGTGTGGGCAAAATTTTGAAGTCGATTTTTATTTTTTGGAAAAATTACTTTATTTTCCGAGTTTTAGTGAGTTTGAGTAAAAAGCTAAACACGCTAATCTAATGAGACAAACAAATTTAATGACGAAATGAAAGATTGTTTGAGAACAAAAAAAGTTTAAAAATTCAATAAGTATTCCAAAAGAGAGTGATGAGCAGTGTGGTTGTAGACTTTCACAAATGAGAGGTTACACAAATTTCACCAGCCGTAATGAAAGTCCAGGACATCATGCTAAGGGCTCACGTCTCACTTAGCTAACGTCCTCACTTAATCAGATTGATGCACGAGCGTCTATCAAATGAAACTAAAGAGCTATGTTGTCCCCGACTCGGCTTGATATACTACTTTTATCAAACGAAAATGAAGAACAAACAATGTTCTCATTGATTCGGCTTGATATACGATAATGAAGAGCAACGTTCTCTGCTTAATACACGAGCGCTTATCAAACGAAACTAAAGAGAAATATAGGGAACCGGACAAATTTTTTTACTGCATTTTCACTAGCAAAGACTTCTAGAAATTACTTGTCTTGATTGAAGGGGTCATTATTTAAAAGAGTATTTAAAAGGCTCATACCAAATTTTGAAAAATTTATTTAATTTTAACGTAAATTAAATAAGGTGCTGTTAATGACAAATGAATTCTGGCGTACAGGTTAGACGCATAGTGACGCTCACTTGTCCTTTCCAAATGCCTGGTCCCACCATTTCAACATACTCTGAAACTGAGTTAGTGCTATGCTGCTTTATTTCGTATATTTGGTTATTTCGTAATACCTAGTGTTATCTATCTATCTATATTGATTAATACATCAGTCGTACATTACATTCTAGTATAACTTCACTGGTGAACACGAGGTAACCGAAAACTTTTACGCGGTAGAGCCACACTGTAGCTATATGGTTGTAGCACGAATGGGTCGGCTCGACCGGGCCGGGACAACGATCTCACAGAACACCAACGTATTATATTAGAATTATGGTAAGTGTGGAGAACCAGAGACCTCTTTTACTGGAAACGAGGCATTCCATCTTAGTCCTCACGGGCGACAACGCATCTGCATTTTGATTCGTAGACGAGGATAGATGTAGATTGTAGATGTATATGGGCAACAGCAACTACTTACTATCAGGTGGACTGTGCTTGTTTGTCACAATCATCGGTTTTTGTTCTAAACCCAAATAGGTAGATTGTTTCCACGTAAATTTATTGACAGTCAGATTCAACACTTTCAAAACCAAACGTGTCTCCTATTTATCGAAAAAAGGACCCCGGTCCCTTGGCTCCATATTTCCCAAATTCAAAATTTTGAATACATCGACCACCTTCAGTGGTTTGGATTTATAATATCCTCGAACCCGAACATTGGTTGGTTCATTTAGCTTAAAGCCAAAGCAGCTGCGAAGAAATTAAGTGTCCTTGCAAAAACACGCCTGTACTTCAGCTGGCTCCGCAGCTTCTTAGAATATATAAAGCGCAAGTCCAGTCGTGAATGGAGTGTTGCTACCATATGGGCTGGTGCTCCAAGACAAAATACCATCTAGCACCCTTGAACTCGACAGAACGGTGTGCTAAGAGGTTTATTGTTTACATAAATCTGGTTAAAGCCAACCTTACGAGTACCGAGCATAGGCGCAAAGTAGCCAGCTTACAGGTGTTCTAAAGGATACATTTGGAGCCTGCGCAGGAATTGCGTAACTTATTTTCTCTCTCTACCTTCCACCATCGGACAACAAGACGCTTGGCCAGACTCCAGTCCCCTTTATTGGTCGACATACCACGCATTCGAACCAAAGGGTTTACTTCATCACTCGACATACATACAGCAAAGAAGTGGAAAATTTGCCAGCATCTGTCTTTCCATCCAACAACAATGTTGCTTCAAGCCAAGATTAAACAGGCTTTTGTTAAGTCAAGTCAATGGATTTTACTATCTTCGGCTACATCACATAAACAATGGTATATAATAGTTAAAAAGTTAGTTGAATTCGAACCGAGGGCTTTAATCACATACTCTCTTGCCCGCTAGGCTGAGCGCAAAAGAAATGACTGATGGAACAATTTCCTCCTGACTGAATTTCGGCCTTGGCGTCTAGCCTCAACGGAGAATAGAAATCTGACAAGATTATAGTGCAGGAGTGTGGGCGCAAGCACATGTGCACTCTCTATTCCCTCACTCTCATATTCAGATGAATCGGAACGGATAAAATAACAAGTATAACGGTACCTTTTCTTGGAAAGTTAGGTTTCGAGGCAGGCAAGTATTGCTGATCCCAAATTATACAACTCTGCGGTAGAGCAAACTTGCGGAGTCGCCACATAGTTACTTTCTGACCTAAGCCCCTAAACTGTCGAACACTCAGCATTTGTAAAAGTTTTAAAAACGTAAAAAGTGATCACAGATAAAGAAAAAGTGATTATAATCAAAGAGTTTGTGAGTTAGTAATCGTAATTTACTTTATAATAAAATATTCTCTTTGGCTTGAAATACGAGAGAGAGAGATCTCAGAGTAATTATAGATGATGTATATTTTAAAACGTAAAGATTACCAAAGAGTAGGTATAATATTATAATCACTTGTTTACTAGAATGGGGGTTACCAATTTTATTTTATTAACTTGTATTAGGATTATGAGGAATTCACGACAATAGTTCAACGGTGCTGTCGATACCATGACACTTTAAGTTCCATAGTACATACCTTACCCTTTAAAGGCTACTGCCGCTTTTATTATATAAGGTCGGGGAAAAATTTTCTTCGTATGTTATGATTCAGTTTTATTTTCAAAAAGACATTTTTTTTTCAAAGTTTAATTATTATATAAACTATATTTTCGCACGTTCTTGTCGTAGGTGATTCACTTTTCATCACCAGTGATAATTTTTTTCGGTTTCATTACGTTTCAATAGAGAATCTCAAATGAGTACACGATTGATTAGGTTTCCTTTCAGTGAGCTCGTGTGGTACCCAAATATCGAGCTTTTTTGTATAGCCAGACTTTTAAATGGGTCAAATCTGTTTTTTTGGTCAATCCTCAATTCCTCGGCTATGTCGTAACTACTAATATACCGTACTAGCTCCACTTTTTCAAAAATGTCATCATT